GTTCATGACGGGGCAGGACGACATCGAAGTGTGCTGCATCTTGCTGGCAGCAAGAGTGGAGCAGCTGGGGCCGCGGGCCCCGCCGCTGACGCTGCTGCCGATCTACTCGCAGCTGGGGGCGGAGCAGCAGGCGAAAGTGTTTGCTGCTAGTGCTTTTCGAAAAGTAATAGTTGCAACAAACATTGCAGAGACTTCGCTGACTCTGGAGGGAGTGAAGTACGTGGTGGACTGCGGACTTTGCAAAGTAAAAGTGTTCAGTGCTGCAGTGGGAATGGACTTGCTGCAGCTGGCGCCGATCTCGCAAGCTGCTGCGCTGCAGCGCAGCGGCCGCGCGGGCCGCTGCAGCAGCGGCTGCTGCTTCCGGCTGTACCCCGAAGCAGCTTTTCTCCGCGAAATGCTTCCCGCTGCAGTGCCGGAGGTGCAGCGTTCGAACCTCAGCAATGTCGTGCTGCTGCTGAAGTCTCTCGGGGTCTCAGATCTCGAAAACTTCGACTTAATTGACCCTCCTCCCCGCGACTGTCTCCTCGAGGCCCTGCACCAGCTGTGGGCCCTGGGGGCCCTCGACGCGGGGGGGGCCCTCACTGCAGCGGGGCAGCAAATGGCGGCCTTCCCGCTGGACCCCCCGCTGTCGAAGATGCTGCTGGCAGCAGCAGCAGCAGGCGGCAGCAGCGAAATCGTCTCTGTCGTCTCTTTGCTTTCCGTTCCTTCGCTCTTTTTTCCCAACAAGGAGAAGCAGCAAGAGGCCGAGGCTCTCCGCGAGAAGTTCTTCGTTCCAGACAGCGACCACCTCACTCTCCTCAACGTCTTCCAGCAGTTCAAACGGGCCAACAGCAGCCCCCAGTGGTGCCTCAAACACTTCGTCCAGCCCAAGGTCTGCTGCTGCTGCTGCTGCTGCTGCTGCTGCTGGTTTGCTGCTGCTGGTCTGCTGCTGCTGGTTTGCTGCTGTTGTGGTGGTGGTTCGAACGAGCCCGTGCTAGTACCCAGTGGTGCCCCAAACACTTCGTTCAGCCAAAATTATGCTGCTGCTGTTTTGCTGCTGCTGCTGCTCTTTTGCTGCTGCTGCTGCTGCTTTGCTGCTGCTGCTGTTGTTTTGGTGCTGCGGTGGTGGTGGTTCAAACGCGCTCATGCTAGTCCACAGTGGTGCCTCAACCTGTTTGTGCAGCCGAAGGTAACTCTTTTGCTACTGTTTTGCTGCTGCTGCTGCTGCTGCTGCTGCTGCTGCTGCAGGCAATGGCGCGAGTGCAGGAAGTGAGGGCGCAGCTGGTGGACACCATGAGGCAGCACGGAATTCCCGAAGTTTCCTGCGGCACAGATTGGGACATTTTGAGAAAAGTCAGCTTTTCATTTCTTCTTCATTTCTTTTTTCCCTTTTTTAATCTTTTCAATCCTTTGTTGTTTCTTTTTGTCTCTTTTTTGTTTCTTTTTTGTCCCCTATTTGTCTCTTTTTTGTCTGTTTTTTATTTTTTTTTTCGCCCCACTTTGTCTCTTTTTTGTTTCCGTTTTGTCCCTTCTTTTGTTTCCTTTTCGTCCTTTTTCGCCTCCCTTTTGGGGTTTATTAAAGATGCTGTTTGAGGTTTATCAAAGCTAGGGTTTGTGTTTCACTGAAGTTAGGGTTTGGGAAGAGGGTTTGAGGCTCCCTAGGGTTTACGAGGGTTTGTGAGGGTTTGCGAGGGTTTTTGACGGTTTTTTGGTGGTTTTTGGTGGTTTTTGAGGGTTTTCAGGGTTTGCGAGGGTTTGTGAGGGTTTACGAGGGTTTACGAGGGTTTGCGAGGGTTTGTTTCAGGCGATATGCGCGGGTTACTTCCACCAAGCTGCGAAACTTCGGGGAATTGGAGAATATTTAAACTTGAGGACTTGTGTTCCTTGTCATGTACACCCCAACTCTGCGCTTTACGCAGCTGGACAGACACCCGAATACGTCGTCTACCACCAGCTGCTCCTCACCACCAAAGAGTATATGAGAACTGTCAGCTAGGGTTTAGGATTTAGGGTTTAGGGTTTAGGGTTTGGGTTTGGGTTTGGGTGGGTGGCGGTGGGGGTGGGAAGGGGTTTAGCACCAGCTGCTCCTCACCACCAAAGAGTATATGAGAACTATCAGCTAGGGTTTAGGGTTTAGGGTTTAGGGTTTAGGGTTTGGGTTTGGGTTTGGGTGAGGGGCGGTGGGGGTGGGACGGGGGTTTGAGGGGTACCACCAGCTCCTCCTCACCATCAGAGTATATGGGAACTGTCAGCTAGGGTTTAGGGTTTAGGGTTTAGGGTTTGGGGTGGGAGGGGGTTTGGGGGCTACCACCGGCTTCTTTCCACCACCAAATAATACATGGGAACTGTCCGCGAGGATCCAGGATCTGTTCTTCGTAGCTTAGGGTTTAGGGTTTAGGGTTTAGGGTTTGCGTGTAGGTGACAGCGGTGGACGCGCACTGGCTGGCGGAGTTGGGTCCGATGTTTTACACTTTGCGGAAAGTGGGAGTTGGCCTCGAGGGTTTTGAAAAAGAAGAACTTCGCCAAAACGCAGGCACGCGCTAGGGTTTAGGGTTTAGGGTTTAGGGTTTAGGGTTGTGGGGTGATTCTTTTTCAATCCTTTTTATTCTTTTTGCTTCTTCTTTTGCTTCGTTTATTTCGCCTCTCTTGTCTCTTCCTTTGTCTTTTATCTTTTTTATCTTCTTTGTCTTTTTAATTTTATCTTTTTCTTTGTTCTTTTGTATTTTTTTGTTTCTTTTCTTTTCCTTTGTTCTCCCTTTTTGTTCTCTTTTCCTTGTCCTTTTGTCTCTTTGCTGCTGTTGCTGCTGCTGCTGCTGCTGCTGGTCTAAATATTGTGGGCGCATTGTGTTGCTGCTGCTTCAGAATTTGAGGCCCAGATGCAGCAAGCTGCAGAGGAGGAAGAGCGGAAGCAGCAAGCAGCAGCAGCAGCAGCAGCAGCAGCAGCAAAAGCCAGCTTCGCAGAAGCAGCAGCAGGACGCCGCCGGCGGCCCCCCGCAGCACCTTTGTCTTTGCCTGTTCCCGTGTCTCTTTCGGAAGAAGCAAAAAACGAAATAAATCAAATAAATCAAATAAAT